CTAATCTTCCACCTTTAGATTTTCATTCCTTTGGGTTAAATATTGGCCCTTGCTCATTTAAAATGTAAATAGCACTTGAGAGCGGCTAATACATTTAATCATTGAACTTACTGATTTTGCCAGCTTGCTGAAAAGTCAAAAGCCTCCCACATAAAGGCCAAGATAAACCTCCTATTTCATCCAGCCGGAGCAATCTCCCAAAAAGGTTTTCTTCGCACTAGTAGATCTTTTACAGCCTCCTCTCAACCCTCAAAGCCCTTCCCTTTCCACCCACTTAACCCAATCTTGCCTAGCATTCAAAGGCCAGCTCACGTGCTGCCTCCTCCCTGGGCTGCTCTGAATTACACTTGCCGTTCCTCTCACCTGTCTTCTCTGTCTTAGAGATAGATCTAAGATTTACGCCATAGCTATGCAGTCTTGGACAAGTCCCCATTTGCGTGAGCCTGGTTTCCACACCTGTAAATGGGAATGGAGATTCCACTGCACAGGAGTGTTTTAGGGGTTACCTGAGAAGCAATCCAAGTGTTCATGGTCTGTCTCCCCGCCCCAAAGTAAAGGGCACGCAGAGGGGTACTTGGTCTATTTGGCGTTCTCTGTTCCTCCAGCCCTAGCACAGTGTCTGGCATATGGTAGCTACTCAATAGATATTTTAAAATCAATGAATGAATAACAGCCAACGTTCACTGAATGCTTCCTAGGTTCAGAAACTCTTCTAAACTTTTTACGTGTTTGATTTTGTGGAATATAAAGAACTAATATAATGAAAAGTAAAATATTTTTAGATTTCAAGTACCACAAGAGCGAATAACATGCTTGTGTTCATATTGGACACACACATTAGTTGCAAGATTGATTGAAGGAAAGAATGCTTGAGTCGGAATTAATTTGCCAGACTGCCTTCCAATATGATGGACAAAGCAATCGGCAGCATAAGGTCCTTAGACGACAGGTATTTTTAGGGTTGCGGAGTGAGTATCAAAGTTTCCCGCTTCTCAGACCTGTCCACGGCTGACCCTTTCGCCTTTGGCCTTGATTTCCCACAGCCCTTGGTCCGTGCTCGGATACCTGCTCTGGTGCTGGTGTCAGGAAGAGGCACGGCACAGATCAGGTCTCCTGGGGAAGACTAATTCTCCACTAAAAAAGTCCGGAAATGGGACAGGCTAGGGAGACTGGGTTCTGATCTCCGAGGTTAGTCTAGGAATCTGGATTTCGATTTCTCTCAGGAATCAAGAATGAAAATGCTAACTGCTGGGACACACAAGAAGCTGCTCTTTTGTGTTTTACGGGGAGAAACCTGATGAATCCGTATGGAATTTTCTAACAGTAAATGTAAGAAGAAGGGGTGTGTCACTGTTTAGAGGAGGTCAGAATTCTCTGTGGACTAATGAGTCTTTGTGCCTGACAGGAAATACCCAAGGGATGTGTTCGGGTGGGGGTGGGGCTGCCGCTTTAGTTGTGTCATTAGATTTCGGGATCAAGAGCATTGGCTGAGGAATCCACGACAAAGGAAAGAGCGAGGCTGACTCAGTGGAGAGTTAGCGACTGAAGAGGCCTTGGCAGGCCTGCTGCAGACCAGACTGCCTCGGCTGCTTCCCAGCCCGGGTGGGGACCGAACTGCTCCATGCTTCCTTCGAGCTTTCTTTACGGAAGGATGGAGAGGCTTCCATTGCTCCCCTGACTTGTTTGAACTAGTGGCTTCTCTTCTGCCTGTGTCTGAGGGTTCTGAAGAAGACATGGGAGAGCAGAACACCAGCCGGGGCCTAGGACTTTTCCAAGAAGTTTTGTTCTCCTGTCCCCAGTCATGGGCAGACTCAGGGCTTTGGGCTTCGGCAGCGAGCAGAGCTCGTGGCCAATAAGTATCACTTGGGACACCAAGTAATAAAGCGAAATGTGTTCTGATAAGGGTTGAATGAATGAATGAAACCGGAGATAGAATACAAGTTTCGCACACCTCATTCCTGGTTATCTCATGGTTAGGAAAAGAAATTCCAGGCAAGACCCAGATGGTAGAACGTTCTAGGAGCATAAGCAGGGCTCACCCTGTACCCAGTCTTGAAAGAAAGCCCTTCCTTTTCTAGACCTTGAGATCCAGCCTTTCCCAAATAAGGACAGTGGAATAATTCGTTGAGTTATTAACTAGGTTCCTGCTCACTGTATCCCACTTTGTGCAATTCCAGCCTTATTTTTAGCAGAGAATCAGAACCTTTAGGGGAGAGATTTGCAGGACAGAAAACAGAATTTTGAAGTCAATGGCTTTAAACTAACCAAAGAGAATTCACTAGATGTGAATTCTCTCCCCAAGGAGGGGAGAGAAAATGGGGCGATACCATCAGACTAAAAAGAAGAGTTTTTGCTGTCTCCTCTCGCCCCCAGCCTTGAAAGAGGCTAGGGATCCATGACACCCACCCCTACAGCCCCCTCGGGGAAAGGCTCTGAAAGAAATGGGGCCTGGCGATCATAGGTGGGTGGAGCCCAGCGCTGGGCCAGGAGTCCCATGGCCCAGGTGGGCACGGAGCAGAGGGCCACGGACTTCAAGGGACCGTGAAGGTTCAAACAGAGACGTTTGTGGGGACCCTCAGGAATTGGTGTTCCTGTTCAGGGCATACGGGAGCCTGCCTCTCAGGTACTGCAGGTCAGTAATAACTTGGATTAACTTCCCGTCATCCCTGTGGGATAGAGATTTGGAATCGAATTTTAATTTGGTTTAAATAATTGGAATGTGATATTTCTAGCATGCTTGTGTTGTGAGCTGGATTCACAATTATGTACGGAAACGGCTCCTTCCTTTTTTTTTCTTTTTCTTGCCTGTACCTCAGACGCCATGATTCGATCAGGCCCTACAGATTGGCTGTGGGTTGAATCAGGAGACTGAGCAATTGGCCAGGTAGGGTGGAGGGGGGTTGAGCTCTAGGCTCTAGAGAGCCCTCTGGAGTGAGCTGCGGGTGTGTGCTTCACCCACATCCCCTGTTGCCTGCACCGTGGGCTGGAATTCTCGGCCACCCTGGACAAGACAGATGTGGGTGCCTAACGGCCTGGAACTATTGTACCCTCCGGGAGCGGCCAGCCTGAGGTCCTTGGATCTCCAGGGTGACCAACCAAGTGGGAACACGGTCGAGTAGATGAGGGTCTCACTCCACCTCCACTGTCACATTCGCAGTAGTAATTCGACAGCCAGTGGGGTTCTCGGATTTTTCTGTTTTCACCAACATGTCATTTCAGCACCAGGACCAACTGGAAGAGGAGGGATTTGGGGCTTTTTTCCCCGGTCTTCAAATATGAGATCTGACAACATCGGGGCAGCCATTTTGGAGAGAAGTTAGAGGACTTGCAGTCAACAATCTACCCGGGAGGACCAGAGGAACTGGCCATGCTTCCAGGGCCCCAAACCGAGTAAATCTCTACGAAGCCTGAGGCCGCCCTTGACAGGAGGCCCTAGACATGCGCAGCTCAAGCTGTCTGGGCCGCCCCAGGGATGGGGCCCCAGGCGATTTCCCAGATTTGCCTAGATTCTTGAAAAAGCTTTGCTGAGAACTTGTACAGGACTTTGCCACATTACTTTTTAATTTCAGGGCACCCTGTGAAGTAGAGAGGAAAGTAAAAGCTAATTAAGCCACCTAATCCGGAACTGAAAGGGGGCTTAGAGTTTCGCTCGCTGGAAATTGTTCAGGGCTGGAGATGAAAGGCCTACACTACACAGTGTAATTTGCTTCCCCGAAACTCTCTCTCCCTTCTTGATTCTCCCTCGGCACGTGAGCATGCACGCCCTTCACCTGGAACATCTGCGTGTACATCTGTGTCTACGCAGGTAAATTCATTTATTCACATTTGTCGTATGTAACTAACGGGTACTAGGCGAGGCGCTTTGCATAGACAATTTCATTTAATTCTCCTCAAATCCTATGAGTAGGTACCATTATCATGCCCATTTTAGAGACGGGAAAAACTGAAGTTCAGCATATATTTTGTCATGATGTGTGTTGGAGAAGAACTGGAATATTAAATCTGATCTTAAAGCATCTCTCTCTCTCTCCCTCCCTCCCCCGCAGAGACACACATATGTACATGAAAAAATTTCATACGCATACATCTTGCCACCTAATACTTGGGGGCAGGGACTGTATTACATACATTTTTAAAAATGTCAGAATGCTACAGATAACATTCTATATATTTTATAGATTAAAAAAAAAAAACCAAGGCCCAGAGTTGTTGAGTGATTTAGCAAGTTAATTAAAAAAAAAAAAAAAAAAAAAAAGCACTAGGTCTAGAATTACTGCTCCAAGACTCCAACTTGCATAGGACTATGGGACTGGGAGCTGGCATCAGCCCCGGCTGTTAATGAATGAATAAGAATGAATGTATGGATGAAGGCCGAGAAGCTTATGAATTAGCTGGTATAAGACCATCTCAGTCAGATCTGGCAACAAAAGATGTCCACTAAGCTTCTAGGTGGTTTAAGTTTAACTTTCTGGTTCCCAAGTCAATTGCCAGAATGACCCTACTGACCTTTTGCAATTAACTTCTCCCTCTTGACCCCATCCTCCTGTTGAGGGAATTCTAGGGTGGTATTTACTATTTCTTCAAAAGGAATCAGAGGAAAACAAACACACGATAATTCAAAAGGGCAAAGCCTTTTTCTTTAGATCCCTCCCTCTCTTCCCTGCCACCAGCAGTGTGAATGGGGGCACCCCCCGCCCCCCTACACCCCCGGCCAAGCACTGCTTGGAGAAAGTATTCCATGACTCAAATGGCTTTTTCCCCTCACAGACTTTAGAGAGTGAGCCTGAGGAAGAGTGAGCGTGGGAATGCAACAGGAGATAAAGCTGGGCGGGGTAGGCGAGAATTTTCTTCCCTAGAGACATGAATGGATTGTCCTCCTGGGAGCTCACAGGAGGGAGGGCAGGAGAGGAAGGCTGTGGGGAGAGGGAAGACCAGAGGTGAAAGTCCAGCGCTCCCCCGTCCACGTCAGCTGTGTTCGGTGTTGGACCCTCGCTACTCACATCTGCCTCATTCCAGAGCCCCGGGATGCAGAAGGACTCCAGCAGGTCACTGCCACACAGCAGCAGGATCCGCAGCTCTGAGGAGGGGGAACAAAGTTTGCAAAGGGATAAGTGAAGACCTGGGGAAGGCGGGACCCTCAGCCTTGTTCCCCGAGATCTACAGAAGTCTTCTACCTGCGGGGCTCCAGAGCCCAGGCACCCCTGCCCCACGGTGTGTGCAGTGCAGAAAGCTTTGCTCACCTCCCCCTCAGGCTTGTTTACATTCCGCCCCTCTTCCTGGTGGGGGGAATGACTCATTGGGGAGAGTCTTGGTTTGCCCAGTACTCTGGGGTTTCTGGGGCACACAGGTCTTTCTGCAGAGACTGAGCCAGCCACGTGCCTTGTGTAAGGTCTAAAGGCCTCTCTCTTTTGCTCCATATCAAACTCGAGTGTCAATAGAGTTTGGCTTCTCTGCTGCTGTGCATTATATGGGGTTTGTCTCCCGTCACAAGTGCCCACAAGATGGGAGGAATGGGGAGACCACACCGAGTTTACCCAGGTAGTAGCCGAGTTCATCAGGTGTCTTCTCTTTACATGGCCACTGCCTCCAGCAAAGGGCTTGCGAAGCGATGCTGAGCAAACCCTCCCTCTGACTCCTGGGCATGCTTCTTGCTCGTCAGTTGTTTTTCTTTCCTCATTAAGCCACTCTGAATTATCCCAGGGAGGCCCATCGTGGTTTAAAACAGGCAGCAAACTGACTCGCTCATTAAAACTGAGCAATGGGGAAAAAAGAATCTAGGATTCTCGGAACCACAGGGAGAGACCTCGGCCCCGGGTGTGACTCAGTGGTGTGTTTAGTTTCCGGCCATCCCAGGCCCTCCGTCAAGAGGTGTCTTGTCTGAAACAGTGAGACAGCCCCGCTCTGAGCCCTCTGGAGACTGCTGCCCCCCTGGCCCCTGACTAGTTTCCGGCCATCCCAGGCCCTCCGTCAAGAGGTCGTGGCTGCAGGTGTCTTGTCTGAGACAGTGAGACAGCTCCGCTCTGAGCCCTCTGGAGACGGCTGCCACCCTGGCCCCTGAGGCTGAGATGGCCCACAGCTCTGCCTGCCTTAGACCCCAGAGCTAGCTCAGGGATCTGACAAGGACTTCCAGATGGTGAGCTTGTCCCGGCTGCAGGAGTCTCCAGATGGTTCAGAGGAAGGCTGCCGGGCTGACGACAGGCAGTGCCAGTCTCGTCGTCTCGCAAAGGCAGACCATCCTCGGGGGGCTCCATGGGACACTGGGGTCTTAACTCCTAAATATCCCTGCTTCCTCTCCTCTTCCCCATGCCATACTATAGCCTAATGATCAGTTTATACACAGGGACTTTAATTTATGTTTATATCCCCAGGGCCTGGCAGAGAGACCTGCATACAATAGGGCTCAAGACCTATTGAATAAGTGAACAACATATCAGGTGACCACAGAGGCTGTGCAGACAGGCTGTCTAAGAGCCTTCTGGGCAGCCTGCGCTGGCTGGGCTGGCCGTCATGGCCTTTGCTCTGACAGCATGGTGCCCCTGGGGAAAGCGGTGCCTCCATGGTATGCCACGGGATTGCTGGCCCAACTCCCCACCTGTGGACATGCACCAGCCTTGGTTTGACTGACAGAAGCCAGAGGGGGCTCATTCCTGGGATCCTGTTGTTCCCACTGGAGCCACCCAGGGCTCCAGGCCAGTTCTCTGCTGAAAAGCTGAGGCTCTGAAACTCTGGTCACCTAAATCTTCAGTTAGGTGGCCAAGTCCAGAAGAAGTACTGGCCCTCAGCTCTCACTACACCAGTGGTTCTCAACTGGGGGCAATTTTGTCTCCAGAACTTGGCAATGTCTGCAGCCGTTTCTGGTGGTCTAGAGTGGGGAGAGGGGACTGCTACTGGCACCTAGTGCTTAGAAGGCGGGAATGGCGCTCAGCATTCTGCAATGCACACGCGGCCCCCGCGACACAGGCTTAGCCATTCCCAGCCGTCAGTAGTCCAGTCGGGGAACCCTGCTCTAAAGCCATGGAGATGAATCTCTTTTTTCTTCCCCAGCCGGAGACTCGCTTTCCCACTCGAGAATAATGTTGGAATTTTTTTTAAGCCACAGCACAGAACATTAATGAGTGGGGCCTCCACCTTTGCTTGCAGGACCAGGGCAGATTATTTGTCACAGACAGACCAGAGGCCCTGGCAGGGTTTGGGGTCCCACGTGTGGCCGCTGGAGGGCAGCAGTGATTCTCCTGGTTTATTGCAGGAAACTAATGCAGCCTTTCCAGCCTGCAAAGCCTTTGGTCTGGGGCAGCCCCCCAGGAGCAGTCAGCTGACTAAGAACATGGAAATGGAGCCATAGTTGCTAACTGAGCCAGGAGAAAAATGGCTTTTTCCTTCTCGTGAAGGGTGCAATGGGACTGCAAAAAAAGGAAACCCGTGAGCCGGAGGGCCTCGCAGCAGAGGTCTGGAGTCAGGGCAGCTCTCTCCCACCCTCTCTGGGCCCCCCTCCCCCCCCAGGTCACCCCATCCAGGGGTCCGGGGCCAGCAGCCAGAATCGGTGCTCTCTCGCCCCACTCCCCACTCAGGAATCCACGCCCAGGCCCTGCGGCCCTTTCCAGCTTCTACTGCCCACAGAAGCAGCCGCCACCCAGCCATGCTGGGCCACAGATCCCCCCTGGCAGCTGCAGCCACCCTCCTTCCTTCCTCTGAAAGAAGAGGAAGATGGGGTTACAAGGACCCCTGCCCCTCCCAGGGCTGCAGTGAGACAACTAAGCGGGTGGGGGTGCTGAGCACGCAGCCGGGGGCTGTGCAAACACCATTGCCATCGCTTCTCTGTGTGTGTGTGGTGGGGGTGGGGGGGGCGCTCCCCAGGGCCAGGATGGCCTCACACCTTGGCCCTGGGCACTGGGAAGGTAAGCAAGGGCGCCTGGCTGAAGCTCGGCCACAATAAATTCCTCTGGAACAAAAAACGAGAGGAATATACGTTGGAATATAGTTAAAAGTGCGAAGCTGCTCGGAGCCGTGCTGGTCGGGAAGACTTTCTGGGAAGGTAGCTCCTGGCCAGGCGTGGGAACTCGGGGAAGTGGGCGCCGGACTTCCGCTGCCATCCGGGCCTTTGGGTGTTTGGGGGCCGTAGGACTTGGCCAAACGTGCCTGCCTGCTTTCGGGAGCAACCCAGAAACCAGGTGCCACTCTTTGTGGCCCTCGGACAGTGATGTGCTGGTAAAGGATATTAAAATATAGTGAAATAATTAGAACGTGAGGAGTTTTGAGAACTCCTTATTTTTGCTTTTTAATACAGTTCGTTTAACTGTTATTTAATATGATTTAATTTTTCGTATTAGCTGCATTGACAACCGGTTCACAAAATTCCTGAAAATCTTACAAATAGATCTAAAAAACCAGTATGAGCTGATTCGAGTGCGCCAGGCACCTCAATCAGAGGACAAGACCCAGAGAAGCCCCTTGAAATGATGTCACATCTGCTGGGCCTCCTGGGAGAACCTGATGCTCAGGTACAGCACCACACCTCCCAGGGTTATGGCAGGAGGCCACGACCTCCAGCCCCAGTCAGAGAAATACCAGGACGGGGAGACCTGCAGTGGACGTTTAAGACTGAGCACGTCTGCTGGGTACCAGGTTGCCCCTCCTCCTAGAGATCCAGGTATTCGGCCGTCACCGACCCTCCTGCCACCTGGTACTTGTGCCAACTTCAGCTGCATTTTGGCATCTGTCTGCTCTTTCCCGTTTCAAATACTTGTGTCCCTCACCCACTCCGCAACCTTGGAAAGATTTCCATTTTCTGGTTTGTTCCCCACGGTTACTCCAGACTCAGCTAGCTCCCTTCTCGGGTGGGTCAGCTCCTTCCTATCTGACAGCTCTGTGTAACTGCCCTCTGCCTGTGCTGGCCTGGGGCCTGCGAGGACCTCGTACGGACAGCGGATGCCTTAGCCTCTGCTCAAGGCTGCAGGGAGGTTGCAAAGGTGGCTTTCGGCCCGCTTTCTGCTCCTCATCCTCCAAACAAGCAAATCCTCTGATGAGGAAGGCCAGGGATGGGTTGGACGAGTGGCGTGTGCAGTATCGTGGGCAAAAGAATAGTCTCTCTGGCGGGAACTGTGGCTCAACTTCCCGGTCTTTTGGATAAAGGAGAGGAGGCTCCGAAGGGAAAATTGCCGGCAGGTCTGGGCCTGCCTCCTGAGAATCCGCGTGAGTCCAGTTAGGAGGTATAAAAGGGTGACCAATGGGACCGTGGCTTAGCCGGGGGCTTAGCCGGGGAGCAGTCATTCTTCTGAGAGGAGACCCCAGGTTTCAAGCCTCTCCCCTGCCCACTCTGCCCGTGGTAGAGGCAGGTGGCTCCAAACACCCACTTTCCCAGCCCCACTCACCAATCTCCTCGTACCGCATCACTGTGCCAAGGTTGGCATTCTCGTCTAGGGAGGAGAAAGAAAACACAGAAGCATTAAGGCCCCGACCTGCTGCTATCTGCCGCCTG